GAGCATGTCCTCTGTTGGCTGGGCTTGCCAGGGAGTGACAAGGGGAGACCAGAGAGGTGGATGTCCAGATGTGTGTTTGGAAGGTCAAGGGCTGTTTGCACAGGGGCCACTAATACACATTTCATTCTTCTAGGAGCAGTGCCCCTATGGTATTTTAGATCCTTTGTGGTGGAAATGCTTCGTTTATGGCTCATTCTGAGTAGCCCCAAGAGAAACTCCAAACCACTAATTTAAGCAAATGCTGGGAAGAGAAGTGGATTTTCAAAAATAGATAAAGCAGAATATTTTTGTATTTAGTTGAAAAAAAAAAAGGATAGATTTGGATAATCATATGGCATTTAGAGAGCTAATTTAAACCACCCTCCTGTCACTTCCTATTAACATAGTTACCTTTTGAAGAAAAATTGAGTGGCTTCATGGATTGCATTCTCCAAGTATAGCTATTGTTATTTAATTTTTGAATAATTTCAATGCTTTGATTTTACAAATTGCAACATGTTTCGTTCCAAATTCTGTTAGGATTTAGTCAACAGAAGAATAAATATATACAAAAATGACGTCTCTGCTATTTATGAAGAAATAATTAATTCATAGTCACAGGATGATCAGGGTAAGCCAGGGGTTCTAGGGCACCGTAACTATGGGGGATTGGAGTTCACCACCATCCATCTTAGCTGAAAAATCCCATGGAGGGAACAAAAAGTTACTTTAGAGCTCCACCAAATATTTTTGAATTAAGTAATTTTTTTTTCATGCACAGGAAGATTCTCTCTCTCTCTCTCTCTCTCTCTCTCTTTCTCCTAGTCCTTTTCTGACTCTTATTTTCTTGTATTGCTCACCAAGGATCTCTGATGTGATACAGGAAGCTATATCTAGGGCTATCAAATCCTGGTGCTATATATTTTGTAAAAAATGTTTGTATTTCAGATGATAAAGTTGCAGGTCATTGAGCTTTCATCATTGAAAAAAATCATCATCGAGAGTAGTTTTTAAAAAAAAGAGTCATTGACCCTTCACTCAGATTTTACTCAGGCTCTCTTAATTAGGGGAGGCAGATATAAAAATTAAATTAAAGATGTAATTATCTCTCATCACTCCAAGTCGTCTGGTCAGAGAACCCTGTACTTTACCCCATAAAGTGGGACTTCCTTCTGAGTGCAAGTTAAGGATCTCTATGTTCCTGTAATTTATGACTTATCTTATTGTCGGAACTACGCTCTTGTGAGATCAAGCATTTGCCATAAATCACATGAAAAAATAAATTGAGGAACTTCTCTACTGCATGATAGGTAATATTTAAAGAAAAAACTGAAGAACACTAACTTTACATCTCCAGCTCTGAGCTTTTTACTTTGGGACTCTGAGCATTTTATGATCCTTTATCCTCAGAATCCCAGCTTTTATAAATGGGACTCAGACTTGTGAATCTCCTGTCAATTCATCCAACTTGTTAATTTAATACATGTTCTAAGGCGTTTTAACCACAGACGATGCAAAAAAACCCAACAACAATAGTTATTCCTCTATTTCCACCATTTCCATGATATTTCTGACCAGGTTCACCACTGGTTCCCTTGATCTTTCTGGAACTAGAATAGACAGCTGGCACAGGCCCTGAACAAACGGGATGGGCTGCTGTGATTTGGAGATTTAGGAAGGTTCACGTGCCATCTTTTGATCTGTGAGCATGTGTCCTCTCAGTGCTCACATACATGCAAGGAGACTCCACTCTCTGGGATGCTGGTTGTAACTGCCATGAGGGGATTTGCGAGGTCCCCCACCCCCCCAAGAGGCTATCTGTTTCTTCCCAGTTGCTAGATCTCCAAATCTACAGTGAAGAGGACGGTGGTGGTGGTGACACCAATCGAGGACCAGATGTTCCTGCAGAGGTAACGAGGTTTCATTGCAGGGGCCAACAGTGCAGTAGGGAAAGCTCCTGACGTGCATTTGTGCTTATGAGAGAGACTGTGGAAATGGGTTAATGATATCTACTGGGGGCAAAGAGTTGAGGAGTGGCCACAGACCTGCCTCTTATTTGCCATTTCTAGGTTAGGCTCTTCCCCTGGTTTGAAACGTTACTACCTCAAATCTAGAGCTGTAGTTTTCTGTAACTGCAATAGTTTATCACCCAAACACCCTCCTTTGAAATTCAAGGTGAAAGTGGGAGCTACTTTGTATTAAATGTTGATGATTTCTAATTACTTCATTACTTTTTGGGGGCAATGTACAGCTTGTCTTTGCTGACAGAAGTAGTTTTTAATAGATTGTATGAAAAGAGGTAATCTCTTCATTTACCCCTAGCGATAATTTTGAACATAAGTTTGAACAGAGAGAATTAGGGCTTAACTCCTGGCAGGCCTGGCTCAGTGGTTGAGCATGGAACTATTAACCAAGAGGTCACGGTTCAATTCCTGGTCAGGGCACATGCCCAGGATTCAGGCTCCATCCCCAGTGCGGGGTGTGCAGGAGGCAGCCAATCAATGATTCTCTCTCATTCTTGATGTTTCTATCTCTCACTCTCTCCCATCCTCTCTGAATTCAATTAAAAATATTTTTAAAGAAGAATTACAGCTTAAAAAGGCAATGAAAGAGAGAGAGAACCTTGCCTTATTTGGGGAACTATTTAGAAAGTAGAGAATGCAATGGAATCTTGTAAGTGGCAAAAGAACAAACCAGCTGAGGGATGGGGGCTGTGGAGGGGATGAAAGTCCTCAATGACATATTTAGCCGGGGCTGCCACACTGGCGGAGACAGAGCTGAGGAAGAAGAGCGTGGCTGGGAACCTTGGCTCCCCAGGCAGTGATTTAGATTTAGAGTGAAAATTAGAAGGGGTAAGACAGAAGTCGCATCCCTGGGAAGTGCGTTCAGACCTAGCTTGTTTTTCCTTGTGTTGAACCCCTCACTGGAGGAAGCCCCTGTGCTGAACACTCTCACAGATCCCCTTACTACTCCCCCATGGCATTTACTGAAGATCTTAGGTGCATATTTGTTGATGAAGGCCCATCTCCCTCACTAGACTGTAAACCGCATGAAGGAAGGGCTCATGGTATCGTCTTGTACACCAGCCTAGTTCCCATTTACAGTGCCTGACAAATAGTAGGTGGCCAATGAATATTTATATTTAAAATGTTCTATATTTATTGGACAAGCAAATAGATACTTCAAGTATAGCCACTAAGAGTGCCACCACGAATAGGCTGTTTCCATGGTTGGCTCAGAAGCCAAATGGCTGAGGTCTTTGGAAGGACAACTCCACTTTGTTGCCATGAATGATGTAGCAATGGTTTCTTATTTCCTTTTCCTTTGTATTTTAATTCCTTGCTAAATCCTTGACGTTATACAGTTTCCCAACAACTCATCAAGCCCTGTACTCAGTCAGGCACGCCCTGCCAGCCTCCATCATTCTCTCCCCTTTGATGTGCACCTTCCAACTGCAAATCTGGGCCTTAGCCGTGCCCACCTCTTGCTGCTTAACTCACCCAGTTACTTGTTTCAAATGTTCCAAACACAGACAATCCAGGCTTTAAGACATTTCAAAAAAGAAATAGAGGAAATTATGTTTCTCCACTGCTGTACCCGATTTCATCTCTGTAGCTTTGACACTGTTGTGCACTCCCTACCTTTTTAAAACTCTTGGATGCTACATCACCATGCTCTAGGTTCCTCTCCTACTTACCCAGCCATCTCTGCTCTCCCTCCCTTCCCCTTTCATTCCTTACATATTGATGTTTCCCAGATGACTTCTTTGTCTTCCTTCCACACTTGCTCCTAATGATTTCTCTGGTTGTCTTGCTTTCAGCTACAACATAAGTTTCGTGATTCTCAGATCCTGTCCTGAGCTCTACTACTATTCCAGACCCTTAGTTTCAACTATCTAGTGCCTGCTCTTATGAATTTCTATTGGTATTTTGCTACAGTTTCCTAAATAGTGTGTTTACAATGGATGCTTTACCGCTTCAGTTCAACCTCCATCTGTTACCTGTTTTCTTGAAAAAATAAAACTGAGAGTGCCAACCTTCTCTTAAATATGGACTCCCAGGTCTGCAGGGTAAATCATCACCATCATCATCATGACTATTTAAGTGCCTGCTGTGTGCTTAGCACTGTTCCAGTCATTTCATATACAACATATTAACTCATTTAATTCTCATACCTCACTGTGAGGTAGGTACTGGTTATCCCCATTTTACAGATGAGGAAACTGGGGCACAAAGATGATATGTAGTGTGTTCGAGATCATGCAGAAACAAAGTCCATCCTTTTCATGACTGCTCTCAGCCTCCCTCTATTCTCCAATCGATGAACCTTTCCCTTGTTTCTCAACACTCCTCCCTCCTTCACATTCCCCTGCCTTTGTGCCTGCTATTCCCACTGACTGGAATATTTGTTAACTCATCGTTTACCTGGTTAACTTTTACTCAAATAATTTTCTCTGTGAGGACACAAAACTCTCTGGGCAAAGTTGGTCACTCCCATCTCTGTGATGATACCTAACTTTGTGCACATTTGTCCTGTCACAGGTCATTCTCTGCTTTATTGCACAACGGGGCTCTGCTATGTATCTGTGTCCTCTGAGCTCCTTAAAACCAGGAAGGAGCTCATAGTCAGCAGCACGAAGATGGGATCTCTTGGTGGTTAATAATTAAAAAAAAATTAAAGTTAAGGCATAAGTTGTCTTGGTTTCTCTTGGTCCCTTTTAAATTTTCTGAAAATAAAAATCATAGTGTAAATACATAAGAGCGCATCCCTATTTTAGACCACTGTCTTTGTTTATAATTTAATAAATTCATATTTTATATTACAGAACTATTTAGATCTCACCCATATCCACTAAAAATAAAAAGTAAAGCTAACTTGCTTGTTTAGAAGTATTAATATATTAATGGAATTAAATGTTTCATAATCTAAAAATTACTTTCCATTGATTGAAACCAAACTGGTGGACGGTGGTAAGGAGAGGTGTCCAGGTGGCCTTGGCTGCCTGGACAGGGAACCTTTACCTGCTGGCCGGGCTTGATGGGTGAGAGTGTGATGCCCTGGGTGTTGATCACTGGCAGGATCTGGTTCCCGATGACCGTGGCGATGATCTGGCCCTGGGCGTTTGTCAGGAGCTGGGGGGTGATCGACTGCACTTGGAGGCCCTGAGTGCCGCTCGCTGCCTGGCTCGATGGCCCCGGATTTGGCATCAGAGGGATGGTCCCGATTATCTGCAAGAGACAGGCCCAGAGGTGAGGTGCCAGGCTCTCTCCTAGGTCCAAGCTGCACCTGAAGACCACTCCTCCCTGGTCTGTAGGAGGCTCCCTGAGACCCCACTCAGGATCTGTGAACAGACCTGGAGACCTGGCGATGCGAGCAGGGAAGAAAGTGGGAGGAATAAGAATCTGAAGGACAGGTAGGCACACGTGGACTGAAGGGGAAACATCTTATTGAAAAATAAAATCAAGCGCCAGTGATGGCAGAAACATGTGATTGCTGCCAGGGCACCACAGATGCCTGCTTTGTCTCAGGATCAGAGGGAAGGCAAACTTCCCTTGGCACTCACAGCCCTCATCCAGCTGGGAGCCACAGCCCTCGCCCACAGTGGCTCCTCAAACACGATGTCCCTTACCTCCGTTCCTCTCCTCAATTCCCCTCCACTCACTCCCTCCTTTTCTCCTCCCCCTCATCAACATCCTGCTCCTCTCTAAAGTCAGTGGTCAGCTCCCTGACCCCCAGCAGGGTTGGGGCCTCAGCGCCCTGGTGCTCATGGTTGAGAGGCCAAGTTTTGGAGTCAGGGGGATAGGCTTCCAGAGCTACCGATTAGCGCTATAACATTGGTCGCGGAGCCTGAGATTTCTGAGTCTTGAGAGCATTGGGATCATCAACAAATGTTTGAAACTCTTAAAATAAAGGTGAGATGACTACTGAGGGCTGAGATGGAAAAAAAAGGTGCATTTTAAACTGGGATCTAAAGGTTAGAGGTCAGGGGTTCTGTGGCAGGTGGCAGGGAAGGCTCTCTTCCCGTTTGGTAGCCACTGGCTTCCATGATGGGGTCGTATGGAGCGCCACAGGAGGGGTCTGACGGGATCCCCTCACTGTGCGAAGGAGAAAGGGAGCATGAGCCGGGGCAGCAAGTGTATAGGGCAGTGATGGCGAACCTTTTGAGCTCGGCGTGTCAGCATTTTGAAAAACCCTAACTTAACTCTGGTGCCGTGTCACATATAGAAATTTTTTGATATTTGCAACCATAGTAAAACAAAGACTTATATTTTTGATATTTATTTTATACATTTAAATGCCATTTAACAAAGAAAAATCAACCAAAAAAATGAGTTCGCGTGTCACCTCTGACACGTGTGTCATAGGTTTGCCATCACTGGTATAGGGTATCTGTGAGATCTAGACTCATTCATACATTGTTGGAGACAAATTAAATCTGGAAAGAACAAAGGATTGATCTGTGTTTCCAATGTTAAAGACTCTCCTGGAGGAGTCAGGGAGCCGGGGCTGGAGGCTTTGCCTGTGCACTTCACAGGCTGGCTCAGCAGCTCTGCTCTGCTCTGCTGGTCGTCTTCCACGGCCACCCCCAGACCAGCGCTGTGGCGATGTGGCCTGGGGGCCACCACCAAGACATATTAATAATGCTTTCCCGTTGAAATGATTTCATTTCACCCCACATTCTTGCAACAGGGCTAGCTCTGCTGTGACCTGATGGAGGAATTTGTAAGTGATGCAGCTGGAGCTGGAGTCCAGGTCTGTCTGACCCCCAAATGCTTGCTTTTCCATTAGGTCACTGGGCTCCCACCACATGGAGAACACTGGAGAGAGCCAGTTCTTTAAAAAGACACTGCGTTTGCCCTGGCTGGTGTGGCTCAGTTGGTTGGGCATTGTCCGGTATACCTAAAGGTCACCCTTTCAATTCCCAGTCAGGGCACATGCCCGGGTTGTAGGTTCCATCCCCAGTATGGGGCCTGCAGGAGGCACCCGATGGATGCTCCACTCTCACATCGATGTTTCTCTCTATCTCCCTCTCCCTTCCTCTCTCTAAAAAACAATCAATAAAATATTTTTTAAAATTCCCTGTACCTTCATCCATTATAGCCATCTTTACCTGTAAAATCTTAAAAAAAAAAAGACACTACATTCTGCCTGCCATTTCCCACCAGACAATAAGCTGCATGAGGACTGAGTTTACACATAACTGATACTGTCTTCCACCCCCATGGTACCCCAAACAGGCTTTTAAATACAGCCTCTCAATAACTGTCTTTCAGATAAATGGCTTCTAGACGCTGTTGTCACTGGATTCCCGATGAAACTTCAGCTCTGCAGGAAAACTACGAGACCACACATCCAGTGACAAAGATTAGGACTGCAAATTGCCCCCTCTGCCTCCCTCCTCATTTGGCCATTGCCTCCACCACAAAAGCCTTGTGGGCTGGCATTAATGGAGGAGCTGTGTGAATATCAAGTATCAATGGCAGTTGTCAATGGATGCGATAAAGATCGAGGAATTATTGTGAGAGTGGCCAGCAGTCCCGGGGGGAGTTTGCAGCTCCGCAGTCTCACTGATGCAGCCTGGGATGTCTGTCCCACAGCAGCAGCAACGAGCATGTCCCATCAGTGCCAGCAAGGTCAGGAGAGTCCACATCAATAGACAGAGCACGTAAGTACTTTATTGATGAGGGTCGTGCATTAAGCAGCCGAGTATCCAAAGGCCATTCCTGTGACCCCACAGGCAACGTGAAGAAGCCAGTGGAGCCGGAGAAGTGTCCTTCTCCTGCACCCACACTGTATACTTCACCTCTGAGCACTGCACCGTGAACTGTGCCATCCCCCTCTGCGCACTTACTCCCTGAACTGTACCATCCCCCTCTGCGCACTTACACTGTGAACTGTACCATCCCCCTCTGCACACTTGCACCGTGAACTGTGCCATCCCCCTCTGCACACTTGCACCGTGAACTGTGCCATCCCCCTCTGCACACTTGCACCGTGAACTGTGCCATCCCCCTCTGCACACTTGCACCGTGAACTGTGCCATCCCCCTCTGCACACTTGCACCGTGAACTGTGCCATCCCCCTCTGCACACTTGCACCGTGAACTGTGCCATCCCCCTCTGCACACTTGCACCGTGAACTGTACCATCCCTCTCTGCGCACTTACACTGTGAACTGTACCATCCCCCTCTGCACATTTACACCGTGAACTGTACCATCCCTCTCTGCGCACTTACACCGTGAACTGTACCATCCCCCTCTGCACACTTGCACCGTGAACTGTACCATCCCCCTGTGCACACTTACACCGTGAACTGTACCATCCCCCTCTGCGCACTTGCACTGACCTGTACCATCCTCCTCTCCACAACACGCTATGAAAACTCAGTAGCTGACCCATCCACTCTGACTTCCCCATGTCATAAGCCTGAGGAGCCCCACTCTATCTGACTGGCATGAATTGAAAGGTGGGTTCATGGGTGGCAGGGTGTGGGTTCTATTTTAGGCAGATGCCAGTGCACTTAGGAGCCGTGTGAGCGAGTAGCCTGGGCGAAGGCTTTGGAGTGAAGCACAGCACCTGACAACTACAATACATATTGTGATGCAGAGGCAGGTGTTCTGCTTCTAGAAGATTGACATGCCTCTGTGCTCTCCGTGTGTAATAAGATGCTCTGCCTGCTTTCTGGGTGGAGAGAAGAAGAAAGGGAAATGCAAACGACTCACCAGCCTCTTCCCTATGTGCAGCCTCGCTTCCACACACCGCGCTGTGACATTATTAAAACATCGCACTGCTTAGTTCCTTCCTCCCCTGCTCCCCTCTTCTTTCTTAGTCCCTAGCATCACTTACTGACGGTAGGACAGCTCTAGTGTCAGAGCCAGAGGGATCTGGAATGGCATGACTGAAGGAACCCTTTAATAAGGAGAGTCTGCCTTCAAGGTGGGGGTAGGGGTAGGGGCCATTCTAGTCAGGAAGCTTCTGTGAAGTTATGAATTTCTCATTCTCGTGGGCTTTTTGGGGGAGCTGGGATCACTATCTCAGCATGTCAAAAACTCAGCAGTGCACTCTGATGACTTTCCTAGTATTCCACAAGTATTGCTACATGCGGATTTTAATTTGCTCCCATTAATCGAAGAGTAAAGATGACTCCACATTGTGTTGCCCTAAAAATTGATGGGTGTGCTTATTTCACTCAGGCTGGTTCCCATCCCACTCGACGCTTCCACAGGTCTCCCCAAAACTCCTCCTCAGCCTCCGATTACAAAGGTCAAAGAAGGAAATGAGAGGAACCGAGGCAGCCAAGGGGTGAGGCTGTTGGGACTCCTGAACAGTTGGCAATTTTACCTGTGGAAATTGTATTTTGAATTCAAGGCCTTTGATATTCAAGGGAAGTATTTGCATCTACACATATTTCAACTACGTCAGGAAATTAAAATTGAATTTTGATATTAGGGAAATTCTGACTTGAGGGCAAAGATAGAAAGAGGATGCTTTTGAGACACTTGTAGTTCTGGAAGTAACTTTTGGAGTTTGAGTTTCTGGCTCCCAGAGCTAAGGATTTACTGATAAGAGAAATCAGTGGAAAGACATGTCACTGGGCAAACACAGCCTCTAGGCTAGGGCTCCCACTCAAGGCATTCACTTCCTAAGACAAATTCTAACTCTGTTTAGATGCTGACAACATGTAGAGCCACCTAGTACCTGCAGACCATTCTCTATGTAAGGCATGATGATGTCATGTGCCATGGAGGACACCAGAAGATGCTATTGGGGCAGGGGAGGGGCATGCAAAGACTCTAATAATCCAACAGAGCAATGCTATGCTCCATAGGAGTGTCAAGGACTATTCCCTAAGAATCTCTGTACCCATGTGGTGGATGATCAAAAGAATATTGAGAATGAATGAGTGATTTCAGAGAAAGAAAGGTGGGGATGGGTGGGAAAGATTTCACAGAAGAAATGGGGGCAGAACAGTGTCTTGGAGATTGGGTGAGATATGGAAAGGCAGACAAAACAATTCCAAACAAGATCTCTAGCCTGGAGGTGGAAGACATGGATGGATACGAATGAGGGTAGAGAAAGTGGAGCAATGACAGGTCAGTCAAATTCCATCTGGCAAGGGGTTTCAATAAATGGCTTTTGAGGGAATGGGGAGGAGTGCCGAAATGGAGCTATTTCAGGTGTGAACGTGACAGTGTGGATAGAATGGACTGAAGTGGCAAGAGACTA